GACGATGTACACGAGTTGGTCCGTTCCCATCTCCAAATCGCTAGTGACCGAATGAAGAAACGGTACGATACACAAGCCGAAAAGGGGTGTTTTAAGAAGAACGATAAAGTCTGGCTTTATAACCCCAAAAAGCGAAAAGGTTGTTCTCCCAAATTGCAGCAGTTTTGGGAAGGTCCATACCTCATTATGGAGAAGATCAATGATGTTATTTACCGAATAAGCAAGATCCCGAGAGGAAAGCCGATGATAGTACACCATAACCGGTTGGCGTCTTTCGAGGGTGACCACGACGTAGATGAAGAAGTGGAAGTAAACCAAGTCCAAGATGTGTCTGACCTCACGTTTGAGGAATTCATGGGTGCCTATGGAGGTACCGGTAAAGCAAGACATGGTGTTACCACTGAAGAAAGGCAAGATCTACTCGCGCTTCCCGATGACTATTCACTGGCCCTTACCATCCCGGCCAGTATCAAAGATGCACCAGGGTTGGCATCCGTCTTTCGAAGGAAGTTTGGTCGAGTTGCAGAACTTCAATGCCAAGTGCCAGCTCCTGGTAAAACCTTGAAACTCCAAGATGCATCACGTTACCTTTTCTACCTGGTAACAAAAGACACTGCCCGTGACCAACCTACCTACCGAGATGTATGGGAAGCCTTACTTCAGTTGAGAGAGCACGTACTAGAGTCCGACGTGCAAAAGTTAGCCATGCCAAAGTTGGAGTGCCGCCAATTAGATTGGAGGGTTATACGAAACATGGTGGAGGAAATCTTTAAAGACACCGAAGTCCAGGTGTTAGTCTGTTGCAATCCGCATAGTTACTGCTGCGGAGAGAAAACCGTCCCTTGTCATTTCTATACAACTGGAAGTTGTAAAAGAGGGTCCAGTTGCCGATATCAGCATGTCGTTCCAGTTCCAGTCCCGACAAGGTTCCAGGAGGAACCATCTTTTAAGAGGGGGGCAATGTTACGATTTTAAATGTTATGGCATATAGAACTGTAAATATTTTATGACTAATTCTTTTTATTGATTCTCGTAATTTGTAGGTCAAAATATACCTGAGCTTCGCTACCAGTTGTTTACAGAAATCTCTAGACACTAATGAGTCATCCACGTCTCGAGGTTGAAAAACGAGTCGAGCGCCTTCACCAAAATACGAGATTATTCAAGAAGTCCGCCGAATTCTCTGGATGACAACAGTTGTGTATATAAATGAAAGATTTTTATTTGGCAGTTAGTCATAAGAAGCTCGGCAACCGCGATATTTAAATGTAACGAAACATAAATTATTATTTGTAATATAAATTAGAATTAATAAAGACTTTAATAAATTCGTAATTAGTTATCGTGAGTTTTAATAAATTAGAATAAAGACAAATAAATTAGAACTATATAAATAAACGTCACAATATTTATTTTTGTTTATAAAATTGGATAAGATATTACAGCACTTTGTTCTTATTTGATGTTGTGAAGTTTGTTACTTACTGTGAAGTACTTGACAAAATATATAACATACTGGTTTAGTTTCAGCATGCCAAGGAATTACAAACCTGTGCAACCGAAAAAAATACAAGATCCAGAGGTTCTTAATAGTCTCAACCTCAGGAAATCGGAGAGTAAATATGGCATCAACTATAGTGTTCTTTATAAACATTTCAGAAAGGGTGATCAGCTAAAAAAGAGGGGGGAAACCGATTTGACTGAACAGGAGGAAAAAACTTGAGTGAGTTGCCTCATTATTTGAAGTGAATGGGGCTATTCTATTGAGTCGTTTACTCTGAGACTTTTAATTAACAAAGCTCTGAGATAACCAGAAGCAACTGCACCTCGCAAAAAAACATGTGAAAGTTTCTGTTGAAAGTTTCTGTTGAGCCTGGGAAAAGTGTTTCTGCGGATCCAGTTCAGGTCGAACCTACCAGAGGTGTAGTACAAGCACTGGCAAGGGGAGTTCTAGTACGTCTAAAAATAAAATAACAAGCATGTCAAAAAACAAATATGGAAAAGTAAAAAAAAACATAAAAAAGTTAATTTCTCAACTGAAGAATAGTGCAGTCTCTCCAAGATAGTGATGCAGCAACATTCTATCTGACTCTGACTCCGAAAAATCGGATATGGTAAACTATGCTCAGTAACTTGACAGTAACCTCCAGATTGATGACTTTGAAATTGTGAAAGTATATGGGAAAACTAAAAATGTGTTTCGAATATACATTAGCAAAATCTCTCGCCTTGAAGACAATAGTTATTGGAATTTTTTACAAGAGATCAATTTCTAACAACACATTGTTACCAATTGAAGAAGAGTTCTTTTTCCCGAAGGACAATATAACGAAAAAACTCATGCCGCCAGTTGAAGCATCTAAGTCTTCCCCCTCTCGTATGAAAAACTGCATTAGTTTTCTTGATGATCTCAGCAACTTTACCATCTATTAATTACATTAACTTGAATGGCAATGATTCATTTTGTCATTTGTAAAATAGTCATTTATAATTTGATATTTACATTACATAAATTTTTTTATCAAAACAAGTGTTGTTTCTTTTCACGCTGACTGTTTCTATAAGCCCCACGGGTTCTGTATTTGAAATTTACTTGGAAACAGTGTCTGTATCTATTTACCCCTCTCGATGGGGTGAACAGAAACAGTATGTTTAAAATTTTTCCTTGTACTTAAAGAAACTAACAATGGTGTAGGTTTGTAGAGGACTGCAAGGCCCATAAACCCAGGTAGCTTTCAACTCCTTGCATCTCATAATACTTTACGATATTTATGTTCAAAGTTGAAAACTGTTTCTATTCACCCCATTCCAAGGGAAATATTTAATATTAAAAAATATACATCAATTGGTATATTTTCAAAATCATAAGAATGGATATTTTTCAAAGAATGTATGGCTAAGGCTGTAGTATTGTTCGATTGTTTCTTACACTGTTTTTGTATGCAATAATTTGTCTATGTAAATATTGATGCGTCTGTCAAACATATGTTGAATTATAGTCCCTACAATTCTACTTTATTAACCAGCTCTGATTGAATGAATGTTTACTTTGGTTTAAAAGTTTAAAACGCCAATGTTTTATTGTTCCATGACAGAAGTAGTTGTCGGTGCTATAGTCGTTTGAATTTAATTAACCGCAAGCCAAAAAAATGGTTCATTTAACAGAAATGCACAAAATTACAATTATACAGATGATTGGCTATGGAGATAAGACACGGACGCAAATGGAAGTAGCTCGTTTATTTCACTAAGCATTTCCTGATTTGGCGAACATAATTCCACGAGCTGGGCCATATTAGGAAGGTGAAAAAAGAAGATGTCAATGTAATAAGTGAAGATACCAAATTGGCTGTTATGCTTGAGTTTGAGGAACACCCACATATATCTGTTCGAAAAGCAGCCCCAGTACTCAATATTAGCTATTCATCGGTTATTCCAATATTACATGAGAACAAAAAGCACCCTTTAAAATTATACACACTCAAGAGCTCATGGAAGATGATTTTGACAGGAGAACGTATTTTTGTGAACAAATGATGGCAATTTTAGACAGCAATGTGATCCAATTAGAACATGTTTTGTTTTCTGATGAGTGCACCTTGACTCTTAACGGTCATGCTAATCGGCAAAATTGCCGCTATTGGTTCAGTGATAATTCTCACTGGACGAGAGAAGGCAATACTCAATACCCTGAGAAGGTTAACTTGTGGGCAGGAATTATTGAAGATCAGATCATAGGTCATTTTTTCAAAGATGGCAATTTGAAAGGCGACCATTATTTAGCATTGCTCCAAAATAATGTAATGCCAACGTTGGCCAACTTGTATCCTGGTCCAGAAAACCCAACTAGTTTCAGCGAATATAATATGGTTTTAACAAGATGGAGCACCGCCCCACTACCAAATACCTGTCCGGCAGTACCTCCACCAAATATTTCCAAATCGGTGGACGGACAGGGAGGCGAGGATGGATCAAATGGCCACCGCGATCTCCCGATTTGACGCCATTAGACTTTTCTTATGGAGATATGTGAAAAGTATTGTATACAAAACTAAACCCACTGACTTAACTAACTTAAGAAGACGAATAACGCTTGCGATTAGATCGATCACATCTGAGATATTGATTATCGTTAGAAGAAATTTCTAGTCAGGGTTAGGGTGTTGCCAAAACGTTCGTGGGGAGCATTTTGAATATCTCCTATATTGACATTATTGTTTAGATTTGTATTATTTCGAAGTTTTTAAATATGTTGTAGCGACTTTTGGCAAACAGATAATTTTCTTTTCTAAATGCGAATTTTTGTATTTTACTTAATATTTCCGAAACAGTTAAAGATACATTGTATTTATAAAATATCTAAAATAATCTGAGGAATAAAAATTAATTACTATGCAGGGTTATCTGATACACCTCGTATAAAAAGTTTTTATAGAAAAAAATGCGTAACTATAAATACTAATCGACGTGTTCGACCGTTTTTTGAATACTCTCTCATTTATTTATTAGCTAATTTATTCCATTTGGCTGACACACATATATATTTGGCTTAGTGTACCTATATATGAGACTGATGCTTAGCTTGAAGTTCAGTTGAAAAATCTCTACGAATTTTTATTTACATTATGATCTGTAATGAAACAATCAAAATTGAATGATTTATATTAATACATTTAATTTTAATTGCTCATGAACCTTATCTCACTAGCAAAATTATAAAAATTAAATTAAATTTGAATACAGATTTTCTTTTCACACGTGAATTCGAGTTACTACAATTAAATTATTAGAAGAATTTTTTATAACACCAAGTAACAAAATAAAATAATTTGTTTAATTCGTACTTTAAAAACAGTTTCCAAATGACAATGACAAACAATTTTCAATTTCCAAGTGAAAATCTAAACGTCAAAATAAACGTATTTTAAACTGAATAATATTGTAATGCTCCAAGAAAAAAGGTTAAGGAAAATATTAAAATATAAAAGTTGTATATTTACCTGCCATGGAAATATTATCTAATTGTTCAGTCTCGTCGTCTTCATCTGCATACCTATATTCGATATGTTGACCATTATCGAATATATACGCATCAGGTCTAACTTCTGTTAAAGATCTCACTATAGTCTTTTTCCGGTTGGGTGGAATTATATTCGGAAGTAACTGTCCAATAATAGTATTGTCCTCAGAAAGTTCACTCTGTTCACTTATTGTCCTTTGTCGCATTGCTTGTTGCGCTAAACAAAACAAAATAAACTTAAAAAACAACTATGACTAGCTATAACAGATCACTAATACAAACTGGCTATGAGATTTAATGCAATGTGTAAGTTATTAGAGAGATATTGCAGAGTCAATTTTGCACTCTTGCTGTATTACAGCCATCGAGCAAAAAGACAAAATAGGGAATCTAATCCTTATGAAAAGGAGACCAAAAAAGTGGTCTCTGATGGCGGACATATCCGGAAATGCGAATGTGCCAAATTTAAATTTTCCGACACTTATTAACAGTAGCTATATAATATTTTTCAGAATGTGTCTTAGACGAGAAAGTTTTAATTAATTATTAACGGTAATAGTCTAAAATGCGACACAATTGTTAAAAAACTTCAATATAAATAAGATTTCATGTGACATTTGGGACAAACAATAACATAACCCAACTAAATTTGATGTCAAACAAGGAGAGAGACTCTCTTTCCTTGTTTAATGTGGCCTCTAAAGATCGCACTTCCTGTCTAACAATATTTGTGCCCCCACCACCTTTACATTCCCTCTTTTGTCTTTTTGCTCGATGATTACAGCACGCGTTATTTTGACAGTAGAGCATGCGCAGATGTGATATTTGGCTTACGCTGCGTTATTGAAAATACGGCGTGCCGTTATTAGGGGAGCCGTTACGCTGTGCGGTATTCGTTGCGCTATTTTCTTTCTCAGGTTATGTATGTTGTTTGTCTTTCATTTAAAGCAAGTCTATTTGTAATAATTTTCTAAAATGAGTACATCAGAGAGTAGCATAATGCAAAAATATTAATAATTTGAGATAATGACTGAGGTGACAAATTGAATAAAAGCTGAAGATCTTTAAGCCTGCTGGGATATGCGAGCATTCTCATCACTCCTAAAAACAAAAATATAAGGGCTTAATTTCAAAAGTAATGTAGAATGCAAATGCATTTACCACTAACAGAGTTTCTAGTATTGGTATGAATAAAATCTGGTTGGCGTAAAGCCCTTGCAAGTGTAGGAATATCTTGTCTACTAAACCTAAAATTTATTTTTACATCTGCTTCCAACATGTTTTCTAAATTAAATTCTTAATTTTGTGGATGTAATACATGTTCGCCCACAATGTTATTTAAAATGATGAACCCTACATCATCATCATGAGCATTTGCTAAAATAAGTGCTTCTAAATCATGATCAATTTTCAATAATTTGCGAACAAATGAAAAGAAAACATAAACAACGTAAATAACGCAACAAAGTATGCATAAGTTCAAGCAATATCTCTATTTGTGATGTGTCAGCCATACGTCAAAAATGTCGAAATAGCGCGGTGTAAATAGTGCAACGCAGGCACTGTTAACTTTGCAATAACTCTCTATTGTGTAATTTAAGTTAAGTGTTAATTAAGTTATTGTGTAATTTATTATATTAAACCGACCTGTAGATTTATCTCTAATGGCAAAAATTACTCTAATTAAAATAAAACTAAGTGAAGTAATCAAAATTGGAAAATACCTGTAATGATTGGATCGACTGGATATGCTTGATTTTGTAGTATGACTTGCTTTAGTACCTCTAGTTCTGTTACTAACTCTTGAAATTGTTCTGTATATCGTCGTGTGCGTACATCTAAATTTTGTAAAACAGTTGTCTGTAAATTTTCTTTGGTTATAATATCTTCTACCTTTTGAGTTAAGTGTTCTATTCTTTCAGTAGTTATTTTGATACGTTCTTCTGTTGACTGCTGAAGTTTATTTTCTTGTTCAGCGAAATAGCCTTCTACACAGTCTTCTTCAAAATCGTACAGTCTTTCCATTTCATCCTTATCTAAGAAAAGCTTTAGGCCATTATCGTAACTTTCCTCCACTCCATCCATTTTCCTTCTGAAGTACTTAAATAATAAGTAAAAATGTGAGAAAATAATAAATGGAGGAGGTAATAGTGGTTTTTGCTCATATTCCATGACAACAGTGAATCTTTGAAACATCCATACTTGATGAGCTATTGCATTGACTTCATTAAATATATTATTAAATACAGCAATCAATAAATTAATCAATAAAATATTGGCAACCAAGAGGTAAATTGACATAATTACAGGTGAAATCCAACGACCGGTCTGACAAATTTCTTCACCCTCACCGCCACATGGCGGATCAATCTCACCAGCGAATACTTCTCCGTACAACATGAAGTAAGGTTCAAAAAATACCTAAAAATGATAAAATATAGTTAGTATTTTTTTGATAAAATCTTCCTCTCTAATAAATTACAGGATATGATTATTTTACATACATGTACCTATGTATTGGAATTTCTTTAAAAATCGGACATTTTTATGAATATGTTCATTCTGACAATAAAACTTGTAAAATTGTAAAAAATTGTAAATATTATAGATCTCATAAAATAAATATTTAAACAAATCCTTTGTTTAAGTGAGCAATCCATATGTACGCCACAACGTGAAAAATACTACTACTACTACTACTAAGGATTTCCAGAGTTTTCACTGTCTTCCTTCACTCAACCGTTTTCTCCAATTTTCCCTGTCATTCCAGTCTCCATCTCGCAGGGTTCTTTTCTCCATAGCCTCGTCGATTTCGTCTCTGAATGACCTTCGGGGTCTTCCTCTCTTTCTTCTTCCGATCGGGCTCAATTCTTAAATTTTGGGCTCCATAAATTTTGTTTATCCAGCGTCCTCTGTCCGCTCTTCTGACGTGGCCGTACCAGGATAGTCTCTTCTCCTCTATATAGTCGAATATGTCTGATTGCACTCCCATTCTCCGCTTAATCTCTGCGTTTTCAATTCTGTCTCTTTTTGTAACTCTACAGCTTCTCCTCAGGAACTCCATTTCTACTGCTCTTATTGTACCTCTATTTCTCTTATTTATTGTCCAGTTTTCGGACCCATATGTCAGGATACTTCTTGTCAGGGTATTATATATTCTCTTTTTTGTCTTTATCGTAATGTTCTTATCCCACAGCACTGAATTTAGTTATCTTATACAGTTTCTTGTTTGTCTTAGTCTGTTGTTTATATATTCTTCTGTTGTTCCCCTGGTTCGATATTATGGTTCCTAAATACTTGAATTTATCTGTTCCATTTACTTGTCTTCCCTCGTCTATCTCTAGGTTTCTCATATCCTTGTTTTCTGTTGTTAGGTATTCGGTTTTCTCTAAGTTTATTTCCATTCCGTTGTTTTTATATTCTTCTTCTAGTTTTCTGAGCATAAAGCTGAGATCTTCTTCATCTTGTGCGATGACTACTTGATCGTCGGCAAAACTTAAGGTGTATAGGTATTCGTCTCTTACTGGTATGCCCATTCCTTCGCACTTTCTCCTCCATGGTTTGAGTGTCTTTTCCAAGAATATTTTAAACAGTGTAGGGGACGTAGCACAGCCTTGTAGAAGTCCTTTTGTCGTCTTAAATGGATTGTAGGCTTTATTTCCACATTTAATAGCTACTTTGTTTTCTTTGTACAGTGCTTTAACTGCTTTTATTAGTGTTTGTCGGATTCCGAGATCATTCATTACTTTCCATAATTTGACTCTAGGTATTGAGTCGTATGCTTTCTTTAGATCAACAAACGCCAGATGGGCCGGTCTATCTTTTGCCATTTTCTTCTCTATCAGTTGTTCTAATGTGTACATATGATCTAGGCATGATTTTCCTACTGTTAACCCTGCTTGGTCTTCTCCAATTTTTCCTATTATTTCAGTTTCTGGTTGTTCCTTGATAATTTTCCAGTAAAGTCTACCTACCGACCATATTATACTAATTCCTCTGTAGTTTTCACATTTTTTCCTGTTTCCTTTTTTATGTATGGATGTGATGTATGCTTGTGTCCATTCCGAAGGTATTTTCTCTCCATTTAGTCCTCTTTCGAACATTCTGTGTAGCATGCGGAATAACTTTTCCGTTCCGTTTTTAATTAGTTCGTTTGGTATCACTCCGGGTCCTTTGGCTTTTTTGTTCTTCCATGTCTGAAAAATACCTAGGTCACAAAAACCGAATTCAAACTAACTAATAAGGGGGTTCAGATTCACAAACGGTGCGAAGCCCAAATCAACAACAATATGTCATATATGTCTGACAGTATTCTGGTTTCAAATCTGGTTAACATTACATAGTATCAAAATACTCGATGTGCATCATTTTCTTATACGTGTAAGGAAAAGTCTTCTTCTTCTCCTTTCTGTGTAGACATGACTCTGTCTGTTTTTCAATATGCCTCCAGTAAGTTGTCGTTCCATCGTTTTCGTGATCTTCCTACTGATCGTGTTCCTATTGGGGAACCATCTCTTACCGTCTTTACTACTCTATTTGCTGTCATTCCGCTAATATGATCATTCCATTCTACTCTTCAATTTCTTACCCAGTCCTCGATGTTCTCCACCTTGCATCTATGTCGTTTATCTGTACTTCTAGCTCTGTCCCCTAATGTTTTATCAAAGAATATAGACGCTTATAGAAGAATCTTTCACTGTTATTTTTGAAAGTTGGCAAAAGATGATCGCACGTTATGAAAAAGAATGAGAGGGTGGATCGAGATTTTAGTACCAGTAGGAAGCGGTCATGTCGGCGCTATTATTGCTTTTAAAATATGAAAGAGTGGGGCAACAAATGCAACAGATATTTTTATGTAGATGCCGCGTGGCCGTAGAATAGGATTAAATTTTTGCGTTTTATAACATTTTTTAAAGAAAATAATATTTTAACTTTTAATAAATGAATCAATCCTATTAGAAAAAATATTATGATTTAATTTCAATAAGTATGTACAAATCTGCAAATAATATACTTAAAACTCTCTTCTTATTAACTATAAATAAAATTAATTCAATCAATAAAGTCATCAATCACCGGAATTAAATATTTCCAAATTTTCTAAATTTAATAATTTCTTCTTCTTTGTTTTTAATATAAAATAACATAAAATGTAAAACACAACACTGTTTTTCTGCAGAATAATGGAAAATTGTCTAAAAAGTGGAAAATTAAATTTTTGGTTGAAAAATTTTGAAATTTTAAAAAAATATTTCGGTAATTTTTGGGCAGAAAAACAGTATAATAAAAATTTATGTGGCGGTTTTTCGTTGTGTTGGAACAAACCTATTTTTAATTCAAAGTTATAAACTGTAAAAGATAAATGCTTTGAATATTGTAAATATCATACCTTTTTAAATTTTAAAATTAAAAATTTAACAATTTAATGTATTAAAAATTAAGATTTTATTGTGCAAAAACCAAAAAAGCATGGGAATTTTTTTAATCGTAGATGCAAAATTAAATAAATAGCTCCGTTCGTACTCCTTTCCCACTTTCCCCTAACTACATCTTTTATGATAGTCTTAAGCCTACTGACTGGCAGATGTGTTTTAAAGTATAAAGTATAAACCATAACCAAATCGCCCATTTGAACTATTCTTCTATAAGCGTCTATATTCTTTGGTTTTATCATCAATTTTTTTAAGTGTTTTCATCTTTGCTGTTGCTGTGAGGAAAAGTCCAAAACAATAAAAACACAATACTGAGATGACTCCAATGATCATCAGAAGGCTTTCAATGCAACAGTCAATAAATTAGACAACTAACCTTGATATTATTAAGCCGAATTCGTAGTCGGGTGTACTGTCTAACATTCTATTAAACATATAAGATACATACAGAACATTCCTATTTGAAAACATTATACCATTAGAAACTAGGTGAAAATACTTACGTCTCTTGCTATTCTCCAAGACGGATCCTGTTCGGGATATAAAATTGCTTGTCGTGACACTCCAAAACTCATTAATATTATTAGTAACAAAACAATGAAATATATCATGTTTTTCACCATTTTGCCCATCATTGTCACTAAGGGACCTAAAGAAGAAAAAGCAAGTTTAAATTCTTGTATTTATTATTTATAATCAAATGAAACCCCCTACTAATTTTTTGTTTCAAATTTTTGTAACTTTTTAATAGAATTTTACAGTTTTTTTTTATTTGGCTTGGACAATTGTCATTCAGCCAGTCTCAATCAAGATAAGTTTATTAATGTAGTGTGTGTGTGTGTGTGAACGTCTGCGGTCCCTCCGGTGAGTACCGATCACACAAGGATAGACATTATTTTCACTCATTAATTTTTTTAATAAACGAAAATTTCTCCACCCAGGTGAGATTCGAACTCACGACCTTTAGGTTTAAAGGTAGACGCTCTTACCACTGAGCCACAGAGGGGGTTTAATTTTAGAGTTATCAAATAATTATAAATCGATATGTCTTAAAAACTCTGATCTGACAGAAAGCAGTGCGCAGATGCATTTTGGTTTTTCTTCTTCGTATGTGAGGATGAAGGGAGCCGATCGCACGCAAGTAACTTCGTAAGCTCTAATTTTGGTTTACTTTGTCCCAAAGTGACTAGTCTGTACAGGGTAAGATATGCACTGCTAACCTTATGGGAATTTCGCCAACACGTTGCCAGTTTTATGTAGAAGCGGGACAGTTGTTCTGCTCTCCTTAATCCGATCCAAATTCTGATATTATTTAACTAAGATTTAAACTCTATTTTACTTTATCCTTGATACCTGGCGTTTTTAACAGCTGACAACGCTAATTTGCGACCATTTTTTCTCGGGCAACCTTATATCTTCATTTTAAAGAAGGCTTGTCAGATTTAAGATAATCCAACTACTTCTTCCGGTTTAAACTTTAAACAGGCAAAAATAGATTTATGGTATTATATCTACTTGGTTGATGACTGGTAAGAGTTCAGTATAACTCATGTAGTATATCGCATACTACTGTATATACAGTAATTAATTATATGAGAGTACAATATTTAACAATAACAAAATCCACAAGTGACGAATTACTTCTTGTTTAGAAAGTTAAAACCCCAAATAAATTAAGTATGTTAATAAATAATACCTTATGATTCTTACCTAAATACTTGTTCACACTGAGAATATTAAGGATCCTTAAATACCAATAGATACAATTTACACAATATATCACTCTTCCAACTTCAAAAATGTCCGTTTGAAATCTCAACGACATTCCAATCAAAAACATAAAAACTGCTGCCATGTCGCATGGATTCCACATATTCCACGACCATACGGCAAACTTTTGAGATACACCTACTGGTTCTGACGAGAACAGTTCACGTAGTTTTTCACAGCCTAATGAAATAATAAATGCTATTGAGTAATATTCTTGCCAAATTGGAAAATGGTCCATCCTTACTAAAATGGTGTAGCTGAAGAGTACTAAGAATGCGATATATGCAACCTACAAGTGAAAAACGACTATCAGTAATTAAAAGCAAAGAATAAAGTTAAACAAGGGTTAATTTCCAATAAAATAGTTTTTTTCAAAATGAAAATTGTTTTTTCATGGTAATTATATATAAATTGATTTTTTACTCCGTCGTGTGATAGGAGCCAAATATTACTTAATTTTACTCTGGTAATTATTTGGATTAAATTCTGAACAAAGAGCATTGGTAGTATTGTCAGCCATGATATTTAATGTGGCGATTTATTACCAGCTATTTTCAAAGTCCCCGTAGTAGGTAGTAGTAGGTTCGTACATTTTCAATTGTTCCGAGAAGTTTCACGGAATGGTGGATATTATATATAGGCACGACTTATTTAATGTGCACGAAAAAGTAAAAGAAATAAGCAATATATTTAAAAACGAGTTCCCTCCATACTATTTGACAATAACAACAAAATTATTGTAAATGAGAAAAAAATTAGAAGAAAATGAAAAATGAATATATCAGAGTTATTTGAAGATAATATTACCGAATTCTATCAAACTTATACTGACGGCCCAAAAATTATGAAATCAAAGGCAGAATAAGCTATAAAAATGCGGAAATTAGGATCGATTATGGTCCAGATAATACACCAACTGAGTTGCCGAAGCTAGTAGATGAAGATAACATAAAAGTACTAGTAAAACTTGTTAATGCAGTATCACTGAAATTATTCCCACAGACTGGCTTAAGTCCATCTTTGTCGCAATACCTAAAGAACACAATGCTAGAAAATGATTAGAATATCGATTAATTAGCCACAATCTTAAGATTTTTATAAAAATCCTTCAGCACAGAAATATACACAAATGCGAAGATCTCGAAGACACCCAGTTTGGTTTTAGAAATACTATGGGAACTAGAGAGGCACTTTTTGCGCTGAATATCCTATTGCAGAAATGCCGTGATCAAAGTATGCATCCAAAAATGTATTTGCATGCGTCGTGAACTTCGAACAGGCATTCGATAAAGTACAGTATCTAGAATTAACGCAGATTCTGTAAAATATAGGAATAGATGACGAAGATATTCGTGTCATTAAAAATCTGTACTGTAATCAAAGTGCTATCGTAAAAATTGGAGATAATTACACCGACAAAATTTCTACCCGGATATCTGCATCTCACATCCAGATGCAGAGCTTTAACCATCGGATATCTCCATCCATCGTAAATGAACTCAGATATCAAATGCAGAACAATTATTCCATGTGATTCTGATATGGCACGTGACGAAGAAGAAGAAGAAGGAGAAGTCTGTTCAAATGCTCAATTTTCCCAACGCTCTAAATACCCGTTTCTTTCAACATTTTTTAGTTTTAACTTGTTCTGGCTATAGTCAAAGTCCTTTTAATTTCGGATATTTTCCAGGTTCCAGGTGTATAAACCTACTGATTCAAAATCTTTTTTTCAAAAATTTTTCCAATGACAACGATGAAAATTCTTTCCTCACATTCCTCTATTACTTTCAACAAAATTACTTCTGAATATACATATTTAACCATTTAAAAATGGTTATTTTTATTGAAACACTCTATATTATTATATTTTTATATTGTAACGGATTTTGTATAACGGTGTATGGTATCACACTGTAAATTTCTAGTTTTTTGAGCTGTTGATGTTTTCATAAATTTGTACAGTGGGAGACAGGATTTTCAACATCGAAAACTGATCTGTTTACAATACAATCTCTTCAAAATTTATCCACAAAGACATGTAAAAGTAATATTTTTTTAAGAAATTTACATTATAATCGCATTTTTAAATTTCAAAGCACTTTAAATTTTAAGTTGAAAATTTAAAATGAAACAACTGTAATTTATAAATTCATCAAAATAAGATATTAAGCGTATTTTAAATAGTATTAGGATTCCCTATACCTAAAGTTAAGAAGACAGGTATTCTAAATCGATAAAATTGTAACTGTACATAATCCGGGTGTTTCTGACATAGGAAAGCTGAATAGTTTGCAGATGTATAGGTTTGTTATACATATTGTTTCATTTAAAATATAGTATTATGCGAATGAATGTGAACAGAGATCGAAATTCAGTTTTTATAAGTTGGCACAACTGCTGTGTCTGTTCTGTCAATTGTTTTGTCAAAAAATAACATAAAGTCAAAACCTTATTAGTATATTGTTCAAAACTTAGATAAGGAAAGAGAGAGGACGCGTAACCCTATCACTAAAAGTGAAGCCACCAGAGGAAGTGGTAAGCGGCATATCTTTGTGTTTTTAAGGATTGACTAATTCGTATTTAAAATGAAACATTTTTGTACATTAAATGTTTTATTTAATTTATTTTATTTTATAGAAATATTTTGGAATCAAAATTAACGAAATTTATTTATTTACTTATTTATGGAATTTTATGGAATATTTTATGGAATTTTAACCCTCAACCACACCGCCACAGGCAAATCATCATGGTGTGTGAGTGAAAGTATTAATTATAATACAATTACTGAAATAACTATGCATATTTAGCAGTCATATTTACTAATTTAGATCTTACTTTTCCTTAAAATACTAATTTAAATTGGTTTTGAGGTTTAAAATTGAAATAAAAAGTAAAATCAATTAATACCTAATTGCACTATTATAAATATTTACCTATGAAACGATATTCCTTGTTTTTTCTGCTCGCTACGATTTTTACAAAGAATATACGCACAATTCACCATTTTGTTAAGTAAAAAAAAATCAATTCACTTTTTTTAAAAAACCACAAACACAAAACTGGTGTCACATCTATTGTTTGCCACCAAAAACATGGCGGATACATCGAAAAGTGGCTTCACTTTTTGAAGGTTGGTTGAACGAGCGTTACCCGTCCTCTCTCTTTCCTTGTCTAAGGTTCAAAACACATGCCTTGTGTTTTATATCATTATTATATTTTGTTAAATCTCAGGTTATGTGCAAGTTGGTGTTATTTTCATTGATTTAACTGTGCAATCATGTTTAACTTTTTAATATGGATATCACTCCTAGGAAAAGAGAGAGGATCATAACACTTAGTGAGCATACACCAATGACTCAGAGGGACATTGCAAAGGAGTGTTGTGTATGTTTGGGAGTCGTAAACAAAATAATTAAACAAACAAAGGAAACAGGGTCAGTTGAAGTGCAGCGGAAAGGAAAATGTGAAAGAATACGGAAGACTACTTCTCGAGATTTAGCCATTCTTTTGCGCGATAGCAAACTTCATCCCAGGAAAACAAGTTATGACCTCCAGCAAGATTTAGAAAAGGCTGGAATAAAAACTCACGACTCAACGGTACGCAGACGTCTCTTAGTAGGAGGAAGAAGAGCCGTGAGACCGCAGAAGCAACAACTTCTGACAGCGCCTTCTTCTTCTTCAAGTTCCACTCCTATCGGAGATTGGAAATCATTCTGGCAATTATAATTTTATTGGTTACTCGCCTGAATAGCTCAAGTGAACTGCATCCAAATTATTCACGGAGATTGCGTAGCCACGAGATTTTACGTCTTCCTACGCTTCTTCTACCTTTGATTTTACCCTGCATTATATTCCTTAGTAGTTCGTACTTTTCACCTCTCATGATGTGCCCCAAGTATTCCAATTTCCTGATTTTTATGGAATTTAAAACTTCGAATTGTTTTTCTAGTTGTTTGAGAACTTGTTCGTTTGTTTTGCGATCCATCCATGATATTTTCAAAATACGTCGGTTACACCACATTTCGAATGCTTCTAGGTTTTTAATGTTGGATTTTTTAAGTGTCCAAGCTTCAACTCCATACAAAAGGGTAGAGAAAATATAACATCGAAGCATTCTTATCCGGAGCGATATATTGATATCGCGATTACAAAAAAGTTTTCTCATTCTATTAAAAGTTGAACGCGCAATTTCAATGCGGCATCTTATTTCTTTTGCGCCTATTATTTGAAATTATGATGAAAAAAAAAAAAGACTAAATTGGGCAAAAAATACGCTCATTTGAGTGAAGAAGATTGGAGAAAAGTGTTATTTTCTGATGAGACCCACTTTCTAGTGCAGGGCCAGCGATCAAAAATTGTACGAAAGGCAGCCTATGAGTCACTTTCAGCTAGCCATATAAACCAAACAGTTAAACATCCCACCAAAAAAATGTTCTGGGGCCGTTATTCATACTCAGGAACTGACACTCTTATTCCTATTGAAGGTATAATGATCAGTGAAAAGTACAAAGCCATCCTAGGGCAACGCTTAGCTATAGAGCTTGACAAAGTGCAGGCCGAAGGGACTGCAATTTTTCAACAAGATTCAGCTCCGTGCCATGTATCGAAGGTTATGATGAAATACTTCAAGGATAATAATATTACCCTTCTTGATTAGCCTGGGAATTAATGTAAGGCTAAACTGCAAAAATTTGACTGTACGACAAAAACAACAATGGTGGACGCAGTGATTAAGGTGTGATTTAGAGATGAAGCAATCACAAACAATTGCAAAAAACTGGTGTTAGAAGACTCCAGCATAAAAGTAAAAGGGGGATATATTAAATTTTAATTAATGAAAAAATCTTATGTAAGTGTACCTTAATTTACCTTTGGCCTAAATAAATCATATTTACAAATTAATTCTGTTTGTTAACATTAATTCGCACAATACTGTAATTGACTCACTGTAGTTTTCAAAAAGGGTGGCCAACTTGTAAACACATGCATTTAGAAAATGAAATCCGATGTAATCAAATTATCAAAAGATTATGTGTGCAAATACTTATCAATTTTGAAATTTTTTTTTCTGTCAAAATGTTCGAAAAATATAAATTTGCGGTGTATACAAAATATAGATAAATATTTTCTATGTGTTAAAACTTTTAAACAGAATATAAAAATATCATATTACACGCTTGTTCTGTATTGAAATCCATCTTTGACCTTGGAAACAATTGCAATAATTCAACTGACGTTCTGCTATGTTGTTATATTTATTAACGTCACACTGATCAGTTCCTATCATTCATTTTTAACTGCAATTCTCAGTAGTGTGACTTAAAATCTTGTTAACAATCCGTCCAATATAATTATTAAATTTTTGTGAGCTGAAGGTTTGCAGCCATTACAAACTCATACACGACTGCAAGCAGTGTATGGAAACGCATGTTTTCATCATCATCAAATTTTCGACATCATTATTTGACATCCAACTGTCAAATAATGATGTCGAAAATTTTAGACTGGAATAGTGGTGCAATGTGTAAAAGGCTTGATTAGAGAAAATCGTCGAATTTTAATTAGAACAATTTCAGAATATGTTGGTGTGAGTTTAGGATATGTCCATAGGATCGTACACAAACTGGGTATATATAGCAAAGTTTGTGGGCAATACGTTCCTCGTCTTTTGTCAAAGAAACAAGAAAGGTTGCGAATGGGTTTATCTTTACAATATCTCACCGAATACAGGCAAAATGGTAATGTATTCCTTTCGTCAATAGTTGCCTACTAATCTGGTGTCATTATTAAAAACCATCCAGTAAGCTAGATTAACAACTATTAAAACAATGCAAAGTTTTAAATTTCATAAAAATCAGGAAGTTAAAATACTTGGAGCACATCAAGAGAGGTGAAAAATACAAACTATTGAAGAACAGATCTATGTTCATCGATTTTACAGAACCTAGAGTTTATATTAACGCAAACCTATATAATGAAACTTTTAAAAAGCACCATCAACCAATAAGACAAAAATTCTCCAGGGAAGCTATCATGTGATGTCATTCTGCGCGAGAATGCTCGACCTCATGTTGACAAAGTAGTAAAGGAAAATCTACAAGGAAAGAAATGCATTTCCCAGATTTATCACCCTGCGATTTTCATATCTTTAGGCCACTAAAAACGGGGTTAAAAGGTAATCGTTTTCAGTCGAACGAAGAAGTACAAAATACTGCAAAAGAAATCTTCGAGTAACAGCCGTAAGAATTCTCTAAGCAGGATATACAGGATGTCCAGAAACTCTTCTGACAAACAAAAACCGGAGATTCTTCAGATAATTTTAAAACGATTTAACCCAATTCATCTAGTCCAAAAATGCTTCCTAAGGGAGCTAGAGTTCTTTAAAGATGGCGCATTGTATGTAGTTTTTTTAATAAATTTAGAACATTTCTATTTAGAAAAATAAAAACTGGTACGATTATTTATCCTCCAGAGTTGAATCGATTCCATTAATTGCTAATGTCTAGTACCATTCATAGGCCATTTTGGGTAGGTCAACGGGTATATCAAATATCTTTTTTGTTTGTAACTTTTAAGCATTTGTGATACTAGATTATCACGTTTTTCAGATATTCTAGTACCAAAAGGTACTCTTACTTAACTTACCCTTACTCTGTAGGATACAGCGTTTTCTAGAAAAATCAATTTGAAAAATTTTTAGCCAGGAAAATCTCCTTGTATAATTCTATCGTATGTACAATTGACAATCTATCGAACCTTGGTAGAGCTTATTATGACTTATAGAGCAGAAGTTTGGCAGATCACGAAAAAAGATAGAAATTATTTTTCTATATCCCACAACTAGAGTGCTTTTATAAGCAATTTTTACATTTGGCAGGTATTGAGCAAAAATTCTGGTCAATTCTGGAAAATTCTGGGAGAGACGTTCTTAATAAATGGAAATGATGCAAAAGATATATTAGGGATATTGTTAGTCAGTGAGTGGGAATCAGAGATAACTTTCATATCACCTGTATTTTGGGAAGGTTTTACTTCTGTGTTGAGTATAACAGAGGATGTGTTAAAGATGTTTGATCTTTGTACAAGTCATAGAAAGATAAAGTACCAAACTTAGATAAAAGTGATGTTGTCTACAAACTTAATTGTTTAGGCTGTGAAGGTTCTTATATAGGTCACACCTCCCAAAAAGTTGCCAGTCGTTTGACTCTTCACAAGAGTGACATTAGGTTACACCCTGATAGATGCTGACCCTGACCCTAGCCACACATGCTAACAAAACAGGGCACTCTTTCGATTTTCCAAATGTAAAAAGCCTATCCACGGAGAGCTATTCAAAAAGATTGTTTCTCGAGACGGCTTTCATTTTTCAAGAAAAAGAAACCATTAACAAAAAGACATATACCAATAATTTAAGCAACTTATATTCATTATTGTTAACTTTAGATAAACATGAATCTACTAATACAGACAATTCATCGTCAACAATATAATTATATATTATCAATATAATATAATTATATCATTATATATGAGATATACAATATCTCTCCTACTTCTAAAATAAGTCTTTTTGTCTTTTATTTTTCAAGAAGTTCAGCTTCTATCATGTATACTATTACCTTTACATCGCTATCATTTAAGATCTAACGTTCTATCGTTTTAAGTTGGTAGCAACGAATTCACAACCAATTCTTTTGTTTCTGATAAGAATATTTATTACCAAAAAATTTTATAAACATCAAGACAAGTGACTTCAATTAGTGTAAGATGCAAAGTAATTCTTACTCTGTAATTTGTACTAATTCTGTTTATTATAGCACCCTGATGATGCAAATAAAGATGTATTCTATTTGATCAGCGTTGATTACAAGCGTGTATATATATGTATATATATATGTATATATATATATATATATATATATATATATATATATATATTTCGCTTTTCGAGCGAAGTTAATAGAATACAATTATATATATATATATATATATATATATATATATATATATATATATATATATATATATATATATATAATTGTATTCTATTAACTTCGCTCGAAAAGATATACAAAAAGCAATCGGACTTACAGTAAATATGATAGATCATGTTATTGTAGCTAGAACTTTAAACATAAAAAAAAGAAAATAGGTTCTAAACATGAACAATACAATGGAGAAGGACTCAAAGATACGAATAAAAATACAGAATATAAACATCAAACTACAAAAGAGACTAAATATGAAAACATAACAAAAGAGTAGGAAGGATGCGGAAACATCATAATAGAAGCAGCTGAAGAATTACTAAGCATGAAAAGTAAACAACGAAGAACAAGAACGAATATCTGATTTGACGAAGAATGTCACATTATAACAGAAATAAAAAGGGCGTATTTACTGATGCAACAGGGACACAGAACCTGACAAGCAGATGAGGAATATAAATAACTAAGTAAAGAAGAAAAGAAAATCCACCGCAGAAAGCAGAGAAAAAATATGAACAAATAACTTCAAGAACTAAGCCAACAAAATTTTACCAGAAAATGAACAAAAGCAGAAAATAATTCAAACAAAACATGTGAAGAGAAAAGGAGGGTAATATATTGATAGAACAGCAAGAAAAACTAAGAAAATGGAATTCCTGAATGTGACCGAAAATGTTTTAGATTATATTGATATATTAGATTAGTTTTAACACTCCATTTAACGTTTTCTATTGCTTTTAATTATTTGTTCTTAATATGCCATACACCAAACAAAAAATAAATTCTCCGCTACTGATATTCTTCTTGGTAAAACTCCTAGGGACGGCATAGTAATGATACGATAAATTTAAGTGGGCACGTGTATGACTCATTTCATTTTTTACTTGCTGGAGTATAATTTTATTTTATCTTTAATATTTGCATACTTACCGAATTCGACCAAAATTTTGTAATGGGTGCAGTATAAAATTCATAAAGCTTTTTCTTCAACTTCAATTCTTTGCCTTTACTGTACTGAGGTTTAAATTTTGAATCATCGAATTCCGGAAGAATTTTACCATTTTCTTGAACAACGGTATCCCTCGTAATAAAATTTTCAGTTAATAGTGCCTGTAAACAAAATGTCAAAATAGAACGGACCCAAATAAAAATGATAAACAGGAAGAAACAGAGATTAATATAAGCAATAGTTTAAGCATTTATTGCGACAAAAAACTACGTAGACTTGTGGTCAAAAGAATATCAGACAATATAATAGAGGGAAAAAAATACTCAAAAGCAATACTATACCTATACTTTTAACTATAATCAATTAATAATTTGATTACAAATTGATTACTGCTACAAATCAAAATGCTATTGAATAATACTGCTACAAATTTTCATAATTTTGATAGGTATACATAAACCTCGATTTACTATTGCGGTCAAAAATACTTTTATAGTTCAACGCAAGTGTTGGAAATGTGAATCGAGATGTCACATGTAGATACACATTGGTGTAGCCAATTTGTAGATATACATCTAGCACCATTCCACAGTAATACAGTGCGAAATATTTTGCACGCATAAAGAAATAGGCCCAAGACAAAAAATAAATTATTATGTTTGCAAAAAGTATACTTACTAGGCTATACTCCTGTGATGTAATGTGTGGTATTGAAAATGTAACAACCAGTAAGCATCAAAATATTTTTACATATTTTTGATAAATACAAGTACTTATATCTTGCATTAAAAGATCAAAATACCAGAATAATTTGTCCCATATCTGGAAATTTTTATCATAAATAGGACAACCTCTTTTGTTAACATATTTCTCAACTCTTCGAGACAGGTATCGAATAATATGATCGATATCTTATTGAGAAACTGAGCCTCAAGCAATTTGAACATCCAAGTTGATGCAATGTATCTATGTCTTATGTCATTCAATAGGTGAAAGGTCTCAATACCTAGCTGGTCGGAGAAAAAAAAGTAGCTTGAATGCACTAAGAAGCATGGTAGTCATTGCTGAAGTATGAAGTCCTGCATTATTCTGTTAAAAAATTGGAATATTCTCTTGTGTTCTGGTTGTTAAAGTTAAGATAAGATATTAAAGATATGTTATAGCAGCTCCTTCTAGGAAGTTCTGGATGTAGTCCTGAGAATCCTTATTTAAGGAATATTAATAAAACCAATGCCCTCAATATTAACATGGCTATAATCTCAACCCTATAAATCTGTCTGTCAATGGCAATATGAGAGACGGACGATTAAACTGCTAGCCAAATGACCCAACCCATCATAAACTGATCGTAGAGACATTGTACTCTACTAGGGAACAATTTCTGTGGTAGTGACGTAAATGTAGTAAATCTGTCTCTTAGGGAATTTACTCAGCAGCTTCTTTATAGTCTGTAATATCAGTAATATATCAAATCTATCTAATTAGCCAAGGAAATCAATCTTTGAACATAGTCCTTCTTTCCTCTATCCTAGATTACTAGTCTATTTACATCTATCTCGGATTAACATGTTATTTAGTGCCATTTGATCACCTAAATTATGGTCTTCTCTTTCTATTTGTTGTTCCATGGTCTCTAATATGGTCTCATGGTAAAATAATTAGGTGGCTTATGAGATTGACGTGACTTCAGTCGTAAAAGAGAAAGAAAACCGTCCGGATCTTACACACATCATTAAGCGTGTAATATATGCTCGTGTTGTTATAATCTCGGTCGCAGTCCAGATAAAACCAGTACCTGCCAGTAGCAAATTTATCAACTTTTTTGTTATTCCCGTCTGTTTTCTGAGAAAATTTATTATAAAACAATTTTTAGTCATTCATCAGTATCAATAATAAATAGTGTCTGATATTCTGTTGAATAGTACATACCAAAAAGCGAAGCAACACAAAAAAGTTACATAGGTATAGGTAGTTTAGAAGAGAATATCAAACAACATTAAGGACACATTTGGGGGAAGCTTTGCTACCTTTACACCAGTTGGATTTGTAGACTTGCTCCGAATACTCAAACTTCTAGTACGCTTCTAAAATAATAATAACACACTATTAGCCCACCACAAGTAAATAAGAAGTGGCGTAGGTTACAATAGAACTAAAACAACTAAAAAGAAAAAGTCAAGCAAAAATTCTAAGTAGGTACTATAGCTCTGTAATTTACCCCATTGTAGACGATACCACATTTAAATATAAAGTCAAAGCTTGCTATAGCTAACTAAATTTGTTAAGCTGAACTCATGGCCCAATAAATTTTATAACATTATTGAATTTATTTATTATTAAAAAAAAAAAAATAAAATGGAAAGAGTACTACCTTTATTTCTAAAATATGTAAACATTGCATAGAAATTGAAAAATTTCTTATCTGCAGCTAATTTAGAAAATTTTAATTCTCATATTTCACGTTTAAATATTATATTACTAATAAACAATAAAAAAGAGGTATAAAACCTCTTATAAGTCTTGGAAGTGTATCTGTGGAATCACATATTTATTTTCAAATGCCATAAAAAAAGTAAGTATTGTGATGCTATGATTACATTTATGATCACGTAATAATACATATATATTTTTTAAATTTCCCAATATTTTCCTCTCAAGTCCATTGCAGGCCATTCATGAGATTTCTACGTTTTCACACTACAACCAAATGCTTAGAATTTCCCCCATATGCTAATATTCTGAAACCTACATAAACATTGATAATTACAAAATTGTTTTGATTTATATACTTTAAACCCCCAAAAATTTGGGGCCCAAAAACAATTATGGATCCCATCAAAAGGCGAACCACTGCTATGCTTAAATTGGCAAAAGATATTATTATTCAAGAGTCCTTAACAACAATAGATGACACAGACAAAGAAAATGTTGTTTCTATACATCCTTCGAACGCCAGTCATGCCCACTGCAGCAATATAATGGATAATCACGGAGAAAATAAAGAAAATCTGTATCTAAAAGTTACATAAGATATTTTTAAGGCCACATTTATTTGTGTGTCCAAACTACTCGGGAATATATTGAGGGTAGTAGAAGTTGAGAGGGTACGAAAAATTGAATACATCGGCCATATTCTGAGAGGAAAAAAATACGCAATCCCTCAACTAATCATCCAGGGAAAGATTGAAGGCAAGAGAGGAGTAGATCGCAAACAAACGTTGTGGCTACGAAACATAAAGAACTGGACAGGCATAAATAACACTGGCGATCTTTTGCATGCCGCAAAAGATCGCCAGACTCAGACTCAGACGTCTGGCCTTAAGATAATTCGCCAACGCACTATAGGTGCACGGCACTATAAGAAAAAGAAGAAGAAGAAGTTTAGCAGATATTTACAGAGATTTTAAGGAAGATCGTGAGTCTCGACAACTGCGTTTTGCAAATTCCATTATGTTTAATCGCATATTTAACGGAGATCATAATATTTCATTTTTTTCACCAAAAAAGGATCAATGCGATTTGTATGAGGCATTCAAGAACTTCGATGAGCAGGACAAACGAGATTTCCTAGAAGAATATAATCTTCATATAAAACAAAAAGCGACTGTTAAAAACGTTCTTGATATTTCTGGAATGAAACAGAAGGTAAGCGTAGAGCAATAGAAATAGGAAGCTGCGTACTAAAGTATTTGCAAACTCCATCGGAAAATAATCACCCCACAGATTTAGATATTACATTCTACTCTGACAACTGCATTTGTCAGCAAAAAAATAAGTATTTGCTCACAGCATATCTGTACGCAGTGACAAAATTTAATAAAACATCCAGTATTACACACAAATTTTTAATACATGGACATTCTCAAAACGAAGGCAATAATGTCCACAGCGTTATCGAAAAACAAATACAGAGATATCCTTATACATAGCTGAGCAATATGCCACAATGATACAAACTGCCAAAAAACTGGCACCCCTTATCAAGTATTTTGGGCTTACATTTGAAGACTTATTTGACTTAGAGTAGAAAAGCTAAGCCCGAAAACATTTTTTTGCAAAACTTCATATGAAGAAGACGCTTATAAGACAGTAAATATTGGCAAAATCAAGAAAACTAGGCCAAAAGAAACCGTCCAACCTGAAATGCGTTTGGTAAAAGCATATGCAAACAGATTGCCGCTAGCTACTAACAAGAAGAAATACCTTAAATAACTTGTTGATAAAAATATAATACCAACATTGTATTATGAATCTTTCTACAAACAAGTTTTTGATTTAAATTGATCTTGTGGGTATTGAATTAACTACATTTAAAAGCTGTTTATATAATGTACCTTTACATATGGCATTTATCGACTTTCACAAGGCTTTCAATAGTATTGAGACTTGGTCCTTTTTGTCAGCCCTGAAGGATGCTCGAATAGACTCACGGTACACTACACTCATTAAAAACATTTATGAACAGGCCACATTCCACATCAAAATCAATGAAGACGAAAAAACTGAAAAAATGCGCCTTGATAAAGGTATTAGACAAGGTGATACTATTTCACCAAAGCTTTTTACCTTAGCATTGGAAAATGTATTCAAACAGCTTGACTGGGAGGAAAAAGGTCTAAACATTGATGGTGTACGTTTGAGTCATTTGAGGTTTGCGGATGACATAGTATTATTTAGTACAGATATCAAGGAACTAGAGCAAATGTTGAAGGAATTAAACCAGCAGTCAAATAAAATAGGTCTCAAAATGAACCTTCAGAAAACAAAAATAATGAGTAATTTACAAACTAATCTTGTTATTGACAACGTCAGTCTTGAAAATGTAGACCACTATATATATCTTGGACATACCATTAAAATCGGCAAAGAAAATCAAATAGCCGAAATAAAAAGACGCATACAACTGTCTTGGGGAGCTTTCGGCAAATTAAGCTTTATTTTGAAGAATAAAGATATACCAATGTGTCTAAAACGTAGAGTTTATGACAAATGTATCTTGCCTCTAACTACATATGGACTGGAGACCATGGCCTTCACAAAGAAAACCTTAGAGCAGCTCAGTACAACCCAAAGAGCAATGGAGAGGGCCATGCTAGGGATTAGTTTGAGAGACAGGATTCGAAATAACGTCATTCGTGAAAGAACAAAAATTACTGATGTCTCAGAACGTATTGCAAGGCTCAAGTGGCAATGGGTTGGACACGTTGCCCGAGATAATCCCGAAAAATGGACACAAAGATTAACAAACTGGAAACCAAGAGAGAACAGGCGAGGAGTAGGCAGACCGCAGAAGAGGTGGACAGACGATATCAAACAAGTCGCGGGCAAGCAGTGGATGAAAATTGCCAAAAGTAGAAATCGATGGAAGCAAATGGAAGAGGCCTATGTCCAGCAGTGGACGAATACAGGCTGAAGAAGAAAAGCTGTTTTTAATTTTTTTTCTTATTTTCATGTCTCTGAATGTGTATGCATGCTTTTGTTTTTTAAATTTAATGCTCTTGTAAATTAACTTAGGTCAAAATAATCTTTTATTATGAAATTAAGTGTCTTATTCGAATCAAAATTATCATCGTAAAAATGTCATAACTCAAAACTTCGTCTACATTTAAATTTGTAAAACTGACACTTTTGCAGTATAAAACATTAAAATTGAACTAACTCAAAATAATTGACTAATTAGTTAATACACTTTTCATGAAAAACGTCATAACTCAAAAAATAGTATTTTTAAAGCAATAAAAAGCAGATACCAAACAAATCAAAACTAAATGTTGTTTATAAGGCCCAACTATATCTGGTTTTAATTTTAAATCATCTAAATATCCCATATCCAATGAAAAATGAGTTTTTTGATTCTCACCAAAAACCACATTTTTTGACTTGTCTCACTTTTGAAGCAAGGGTGGGATGTTTTGATCAGAATGTCCTATCTATAGATAAATAATATATGGTCCTATCGACAAAAATCAGAATACGTTTTAGGTAAAGGGGGCAGCTTTCGTATGACATTTTTGGTGTTTTGCGGCAAATAAAGTCAGTTAGTATAAATCTGTAAAATAAATAGATGTTGTGCAATTTTTGTCATTTTTTACGATTCCCATGAGGTAATAAAATTTATCACTTCCATTGTTAGAGCATAATATTTAAAACTTTAAACGCCAAATCATCAAATTGGACGAAGTGCAACTGGATATCCAGGAATCGTAAAGGGATAAACAAAATTACGTTAGGTAAATGGGTTAAACATTTTTTGTGGCGTATGTTTGAATTTAAGATTGTTTAAATTACTGTTTTATTTTCCAAAGCATTAAGCTATTGTTTAAGCAATTAAGCAATTTTAAAAGTTTATTGGGCCATAATATATACAAATTATGACATCTTATTACACGTTCTGTGGCAATTTAAACTATAATGATTATAAGTAAAGTACAAATTTATATCCTATGAAAAATTTTACAAAAAGTAAGTACAACATTTAAGTGTATTTTTTGCTTAAACATATCTAGAAAAAAGTAAGAATTAATTAAATATAATTGGGAATATTAAAAAACATTTTCTATATTTTAGGTATATATCTATCGACAGCGACCGCAACAAAATAAAATTTACATATATCTAAACAAACTGTTTGACAATGTCGGAATAGAACTTTCGTCGAAAATAATGAAAACCTAAACTATGAATATCAAGACGAGATGTGGTAAGGAGCCTTACTGCTACCGATAAAAATACAAAAATATAATTGTCGATCAAATATGAGACAATGAACAAAAAGTTTGGCATCATCAAAATTCATGCCACTATCATGACAATAGAGTTTTAACCTTGTTTAGGCCTAAGCCTCTTCAAGGATGCCACTATCCTAAGCCCATTATTTTTATAACGATAATGGATGATTAATCCAATTGGCATTCCTAAATCCCCTACTAACTGCATTAATAGCATTAATAGATTTGTTGGGATAAAGAAAATCGCTAATAATAATAATACAAGAAATATTGTACAATTAGTGTTAATAAAAATATCAATATTAACAAAATCAAAAACAGTGACAAGACAAAATTATTATGTAGAAGAAAACCGT